CACACACACACACACACACACACACACACACACACACACACCAGCGTGAGGTTTAAAGTACTGGGTCTGGGACTTAAACTACGCCATCTACTGGTCCCCAAAATAATTCTTTTTTCTTTTCTTTTTTTTGGGGAGAGGTTTTTGCTATAGGGCACATGCCTGCGCTCGCTAGAAAGAGAGGACAGAGAGATAGAAAATGAGAAATCACCCCCCCAGGGGAGATGGCCACATTGCAATCCCTTTTCCTCCATTTTCCATTCGGGATCTTGGGCACGCATGCACATGCGCCCGGCGTTAGTTTAAACCACCGGATCCAGGACTCAAACCATGGTCGACTACATGGGAGTTCAGCGACATAGCCATTACACTAACTGCTGGTACCCTCAAAATAATTCTTAAAAAAAAATCCCAGGAGAGTGGATTTCTCAATTTCCTTCTCAAGTGAGTGCACATGCCCTAAGGCAAAAACAAACAAAAACCTTCTACAAAAAAAGGAATGGTGTGTATGCAGCAAGAGATAACTAATACACAGGCCATCTGCTCTGTGCACCAAGATAAAGTCAACAAAAGTAAACACTAACAGTGATGAATCAAAATAAATTGGCAAATGAGGGGGGAAAAACCCTAAGTGCCTGGAAATGAAAAGCAATTAACTGATGGCTAATCGCGTGAAGAGACTCCTCACCAAGGAAACGTAAACTAGTAAATTATAATCTGTATTTCCACACATTCAGGCATATAAAGTTGGCACTTTCGCCGTTGGTGAGAGTGTAAATTAGTTCAGCCATTTTGGAATGATTTGATAAGACCTATTAAAACTTCAGATGTTGGGGACCAACAGTTAGTGTAATGGCTATGTTGCTGAACTTCCATGTAGCTGACCACGGTTCGAGTCCCAGACTTGGTAGCTTAAACTCACGTCGGGCTGGGTGCGGGTGCGTGCGCATGCGTGCCCAAGATCCTGAGAGGAGAATGGAGAAGGGATTGAGGCTATCCCCCCTGGGAGGGTGACTACTCGCTTTCTGTCTCTCTGTCTTTTTGGCGAGCACACGTGCCCTATAGCAAAAACCTCTCAAAAACAAAAACAAAAAAACAAAAAAACTTCAGATGTGGGACCAGCAGGTGGCATGGTGGTTAAGGCACTGGACACTCCCACATGGCCAACTATGGTCCAAGTCCTGGACCTGGTGATTTGCTTTCTCATTTTCCCTCTTTCTCTCTCTGTCTGTGTCTCTCTCTGGTCAAATTAAAATAAAATAAATGAATAAATAAAATTCAATAAATAATTTTTAAAATAACAACTTCAGATGCATGTCTCCTGTCACCTGGAATTTCCACTTCCCTTGTCCAGTGTAACGGAGGCTCACCAGGTCACCGTTATTTCATGAAACTGGAAACGAATTACATGCTCATCAGTTGGAGACTGGCACGTCCCTGCTCTGAAGTAGGTACTGTGATTTCACAGAAGGCAGATCTGTGCTTCCAACAGGCAGGGCCCCAAGACACGCAATAATGCCACGTAATTAAAAATAGCCTCGCAAACCCTTGCTGAATGTTTCCTGTGGGCAAACAGAGAGCCAGAGAAAGGTCTGGAAAGAAGCCACGCCACACAGGCTACTTTGGGGCAGGGGCCAGTTCTGGGATCCTGGTGTGGTCAGAGAGGACTTTAGCCTTCTCTGTCATGTTTTCATTCTTTACAAGGAGAATGTGCTCACCAATATGACTATAATTAAAAATTAACTTTGGAAGAAAGCTAAGTGCAAGGCCTGGCATGTGGACAAACTGACACGCTGCTCTTGTTTAGGCTGTTGTGTCAGTGAGGCAAAAGGCCACCAGGAGGCGTGGGGACTGTGCCGAGGTCCTCCACCCTCCCTCTGCCATCTTCCTCCCTGATTCACCCTGCTGGAAGGTAGGTTGGGCAGATTCTTTCCTGACCCAAGCCAGGGCAACTTCACTACAGAGGAGGGGAGAAACATTCAGGACCTAGAAGGGGAAGGCCAGACTTGGGTTCCCATCAGCCTCTGGCTCATAGCCTAGCTCCCACAGCTCTCAGCTCTAGGGGATCCCTTAGTCCTTGTGGCCCTCGGACCGAGGGGTGGGATAGGATGGCATGAATGAGGCACACTTATTCATCCAGCTGGAGAGGGTGGGTCTAGGGTATCACCCAAGATGAGATCTAAATGGAGAAAAACTAGGCATAGGGCATAGGTTGGAGGCTCAACGCCGTGAGATACCTTTAGAAGGAAAACTACACTCCAGGTGGGCAGAGCTAATAAACTCACGGAAAAATAAGTCTTTCTCTACCACATCCCTGGATGGAAAAGAAAGTGAGTGGGGGGCTTAAGAAACTACATCCAGGCCCCGGTCTACAAAGTCGGAGTAGGGATTGTTATGGAGACCCCCTACCCACCACCAAGTGGTAACTGAAGCTTGGGTGCAGGCCGAGCCCTGCCTGGAACCCCAGGCTCAGAAATCCACTTCAGACCACTGGTGCGTGCTAGGGCGGACCTAGGGGTGCACAGGCGGGGGCATCCAGGAGGCAGGCCGAGGCCCCCCCACCCCCGCAGCCTCCTCCTCCAGAAACACGTCCAGAACCAGCGCTCCCAGACGTAACGAGGGCGCGGACGCTCAGGGGGCTGTGGCGTGGGGGCCCGAGTCTCCATCACTCTGGGCGGTCAGTCCCGGGATGTCAAGGGTCGGGTACCGCTGCATCCCACACTCGGCCTCATGCCTGTGCGACACTCCGGGCGGGACCTCCCCAACGTCAGGGTCCTACCTGGCGAGCTGGCGTGAGGGTACCGTCCACATCAAACAGGCAGAGGACGCGCTCCTTCCTGCGGGCGCCCTCGGCGGGAGCCGCCCAAGCGGCAGCGCCGGCCCCCCGGGGGG